ATATTAGCTGGTGATATCATTAAAATATAGGTAAACTACCATATTAAGCTATTGAGCTGATACAGATATTTTAGTGTTTTTATACCACATAGATTTAGATATTATTATTAAGATGGAATTGGTCATTCGAAATCATTGGCCTTACGCATAATGTATCTTCAAATTCCTATCCTATTATAAAAGCTTGCTATACGAATTATAGTTTTACTAAAATTATACTTATCTTATTGGCGAACTATTCGAGAAAAAAATTTTATTGTCCCTCTACTTACCCCTATCCTTTCATTATTTTAGACTCATTTGTTCATTTGAACATCTCATTCTTCCATTTAGGGTGTTGAGATTGGTCCTCTGGAGCTTACTATTCACAGCTTGACAAAGTCATTGGCTCAGAAACAGGAAGAGTTAGAGCAGATGGAGCAGCAATGGCTTAGAGAACAAAGTGAATTGGTGAAACAAGTGAACATTAAAGAAGAATTAACTCAGAGTGTTAGCAGAGCCCATAAACAACTGAGCATTCTATGGCAGAAAAAGATGCGAGTTGAAGGTATCGTTGAAATTCTTATTCACTTTTGTACCAATTCCACCGGAATTCAAGTTCACATCTACTTGACAAAAATATTGCTTTTGAAAATTCTGTCATGAGACCTGAATACTTTAATTTTTCTGTCATCTTCTTATGTAGGTGAAATTGAAACTCAAGAACGTGAAAAAAAAGAGTTGGATCGCGAATTGCGCCACTTACAGAACGACATGGCTCGGTTAAACAGCATCATCCACAAGCAGCGCGACCGTGGAGGGAGTCTGGAGCAGCAGAACCGGTTGGCTGAGACTGATTTTATTCGAGCTCTGCGAGAGAAGGAAACTGAAGCAGCTGAGTTACAGTCGCAGGTAGATGAAGCTATCCATACAAAGGAGAACATGCTTAACGAATTGGTTGAAACCGAGTAAGTCAGTGAGCTCTGGATTACAATTGCAAAAATCCATATATCTTGTCCTCTCTTGGGCCTGAGCAAACTTTTGATAACCACTATTCTGATCAAAAGTCATTGGAAAGCTAATTTTATTAGGCTACATACGTAGGCTTTTAAGCTTAACTTAGATCTGCAGCAAACTTGCTTGACCAAAGGTCTTGCTTAAAGCTTCAATTGTTAAAAATGGGATTATACCATAATAATTTCTTTTTTTCTAAGACAAAATGTTGTATAAAGATTTTGAATAATGCTTTTCGGAGTATGTCTGATAACTTGAAATAGAATAACTTTGATATTGGTATGGTCTTGGGAGCTAAAGTAATACCGGATGAAGCATTAGTAAGTTATAGATCTTTTTTATATCTTTTTTATATCTTTTAGACAATATCGATCTTTTCTCAGATTAGTTAATGGTCTTACTGGATATCGTAAGGCGCATTGAGGCTAGCAAAACACAAACATTAAATTTTCGGCATAATTAAAACTAAGCTTGAAACTAAGTCGGTTCCAATCTGATACTTTATCTATCCCCGCTAAAATGTACGCATTAAATTGATAGTGACGAGAATTTAATGTTTTTTAAGTATAAAACATAATATTAAGGGAAGCTTAGAGGCAATGATTGTGAATTCAACCATATGAATTTAGCACTGGTTAATAATTCTTGGAGGGGGATAACAACAAATAAATCTCAAAACTTTATTTTCATATTCATTCTTTGGTGATATTTACTGGAGGTAGTTAGAAGTGAGCTAATTTAATGCCTTGATTTTTTCTGTATTTTATCCTTTATTCTCACACGAGAATGCCAGATCAACCTGATATGAGTGTCTCACAGGAAATATGATCAATTTATTGGGATAAGGCTTTATATATATATCTATATATCTATATATATATATATGTATATGTATATATTTATTTAGAAATTAAACGTATGCGCAGACTGAGGATTTGTAATACTTGTGGTCTGCTTGATCTAAATAAAAATCGCTTAATACTAGTACTTTTTATATTAATGAAAAATAGTTTTGCACAGTCTACACTTCATTTACTTAAATCAAATGGTTGATATGGAGCTTTTATTTGGATCGTCATGAGACAAACTCATTCACCTGTTGATCGTTTTTATTTTTTTCACAGAAAAGATCTTTTTCTTTTTAACAATGGTAGAGCTATTCTCTGTCTTATTTCTGTCTTTTTTGGTTTGCTTTTTTAAGACGTCAAATTATGCTTTGGGAAAAGAAAGTTCAGCTTTGTCTCGAAACCAAGCAAGCTGTCGACTCTGATGTTGGCCAGAGTGAAATTAAAGCGATGAGGTCTGAAATTCATCGAATGGAAGTGCGCAAGACGCAACTATTGCGCCAGCAGGAACAATTAATTCAAGCTTTAGAAAAAGCTGTTTCTAGGTAAGGAAAACCTTTACTCCTCCGTAGTGATAAAATATTTGTTGATAATATTTAGTAAAATTTATTATCTCTAGGTTATTTTAACGAAATAGGATCTAATTATCATAATGCAGTAGTTTAAACTAGGAAGTACTTTCGACTATTGACTAATTAAGAAATATTTTTCTATTAAGTCAGATGTAAAGCATACTCAAATTGCTAAAACGAA